AAAAAGGGGCCCACCCACTTAAGTGGGGTAATTTGGGGATGTGAGGGACTTTTGGATTGTATGAAGGGGGCCATTAGGGTTTGGTTGGGGGCATTATGAAAAGTGTATTCTCTTTCTAGTTTCCTTCTTGTTCTTTTCTAGGGTTTTCTTGTGGGAGATCTTGTCCTTCTCGAAGTGGACAAACTTATCTTGTTTTCTCTTGGCTTTCTAATGCAAAGGTTCTTGCTTTTCATCTCAACCCTCTTGTGATTGTTTCTCTTTGCTTTTGGTGGAGAAATTCCTCATTTTTGGGGGAAATTAGGGCAAAACCGAAATTGTGGAACCCTAGGGCGTATCACAAAGCTGCAGCCTCAGGAACAGAGGCTACACTACCGCATCAGAATGTGCAGAGCTCAAGTCAACTTAATGATTACTGGAAACATCTTTTTATTTTTAGGGGAAATTAGGGCAAAACCGAAATTGTGGAACCCTAGGGCGTATCACAAAGCTGCAGCCTCAGGAACAGAGGCTACACTACCGCATCAGAATGTGCAGAGCTCAAGTCAACTTAATGATTACTGGAAACATCTTTTTATTTTTATTTTATTTTTTTTTGCTTACGATTTTCTAACATGATGCATGTTTTTGGAAAATTCACATTTAGCATCCACTATTCAAAAATTTCATTTGCAATAATAATGGTACTTTTTGCAGGTCGTTCAAATGCTATAAATATCGCAGAAAAATTAGGACTGCCCTATCGTATATTATCCACAGCTCGGAAATTACATGGAAAAACTAGTGCTGAAATTAATGAGGTAAAATATTTTGCAACTTATAAACAACTTATATGCCCATCATTGTTTAAGCACTTGCTAAGGACCGGCAAGTGTCTTGCGAAGTTGCACTTTTCTCCGTTTGAAGTTGCTGCTGCTTAAATTAGAATGCCCTTTACCATGCATTTCCCATACTTTTGAGCTTTGTGCTTATCTTGATTTTTTTTTTTTTTTTTTGCTTATCTTGATTATATTTTGTTAAGCTTAATTTATTTTGCTATTTAATTTATTAAGCTTTGTGCTTATCTTGAATATATATTTTTTGGCCAAGTGCAATGAATGGTTTTATTGAGCCAAACATAATTGTTTTTTTGAAGATAGCTTATTTAAGGTTAACTTGTACATGTTCGTACCCGGAACTTACTCCTTAGGCTGCCCTTATTTTGTATTAGAACTACCCATTACTGAATGTACTTCAGTTATGTTTCTCATTCTACCTCCATGTGAAAGTAATAGTAAAGAAAAATAAAAAATAAAAACTGGGGAGGTGTGATGATCTTTTTAGATGCGTTATTGTGCTGCATGATTTGCTTTAATTCTCATTTTTTATGCAGATTATAATTGATATGGAGAGTTCCAAACAAGATTTTGAGCAGCATCTGAAGGATGCACAACATTATTTGATGTAAGTGTACATTTAATTGCTTAAATTAGCTAAAAATGATTATAGCATGTTATAAGAAAAAAAAAAAAAGACATTGTTACGGTCAATGGTTCTATTTACAATCAGGTATCTTTTGCTACTTGTTATTTTCTTTGTTGAGAGATGTAAGTGAACATAACCATTGAAGGAATATCAAAAGAATCTTAGTTCTGGAAACTAGGAGTTAAATTTAATGAAGCAAAGGGATTAACATGCAAAAATTGGGGGGATGATTTGTTCTTGATATCATATTGATTTTACTGCCGAATCCTTTAGTTATGTTTTTGGTAATGTATTCCTTTCTTTCGTCCCGGTTCTTATGGAAACCAGGGGTTTGTTTTGCTAAGATACACATACTTATGCAATGCAATTTCAACTAAGTTCCGTACAATGTTTGGCTTCCCTTGAAAATTAATTTTTATGCCTTGCTTATAGGGGTGTCAATTCGAGTCAACGGGTCGGGTTCGAGTCTAACCCAAGTTGAACTGAGCGTAAACGGGTTTGACCTGAACTCGACCTGTTTGGCTAAACAGGTCAGGATTTCCAACCCGAGCCTAACCCGAACGAGTTTACAGGTTGGCCTGATCAGACCTGCGGACACGAACATTTGCCTTCCTTCCACAGACGCAACAGCTAAGTCGCACGGGCTTGTGGGTGTGTAGGGTCGCGGAGTTGCGGAGACGGGGCGGACCCGAGCATGGCGAGGCAGGAGCTCGCCGGAGCTTGACCTGAGGCTGGCAATCTGGACCGTTGGCGGCTGTCATCACCGCATTAGGCATGTGGCAGTGCGGGCTAGGTCGTTGCTTGACAGTCGACTGGGTAGGTTAGTATGGGATCCGGGTTAGCCAGGTCAACTCGAACCCGACCAATTTTTCAAACAGTTTAGAAATCCGAACCCGGACCCGACCCATTTTACAAACGTGTTACCCGAACCTGGATTTTTCCAGTTCGGGTTTCAAGTCTTGTCAACTTTTGACACCCCTACTTGCTTATTTGTGAAATGCTTGTTATTATTTTTTTGTTTCTTTCTTGAATTCTTCTATCATTATTGAGTTACTTGCTAATGTCTTTATTGAAGTGTAAAGCAACATTTATTTGAATTAACTATTATACTATTAAGATGATACATTAATAAATGCACTGAATCAAAGTAGACGGTAAGTGCTACAATATTAAACGTAATCATCTACTTCACTTATTTTAAAAGAGTGAAATTCCACTTCTAAGTTCCTTAAATTATTTATTGGTCTCCTTAGAGCGCAACCTAATCATCAAGGATATAATTATGTCAATTTACATAATTAATCTAGAAGTATACAACAACAACAATATCAAGCTTTTATCTCACTATGTGGGGTTGGCTACATGAATCATTTTTCTTTATTATGTCCTGTTAAGAATCAAATTCTCATTTAAATCTAATAAAGAAATGTCATTTCTAATATTTTTAACCAAGTTTTTTTAGGTCTACATCTACTCTCCTAACAAGGTCGTCGTTTTACATGAACAAACCATCTAAGGTGACTCTTTCTAATCTTATATATCACTGGAGCTACTCCAACCTTTTCACAATTTTGCTCGTTTCATATCCCGTCTTTAATAGTAAATCCACTCATCCACCTAAGCATTCTCATCTCAGCAACACTTAACTTAATATTATACTTCTTTTTTAATGACCAACATTCTGTGCCATAAAGCATTATAGGTTTCACTACCATCTTATAAAATTTTCCCTCAAGTTTGAGTGATACTTTCCTATCACACAACAAAATCTCAAAATCCATAATAACATAGTGATTAATATTAATTTTTTTAAACGAATCAACTTAACACTTACAAAAAAGAACACTCATCACATATCTCACTTGGCAATTTCAATCGTACATGCAAACCAAATGACCAAATAATTTTAAAGACGGGAAAAATAATAGAAATCACCACAGAGGGAAGAATCACATGCCTTACATCGATATATGAAGTCTCTCCTTAGAAATATTCGTCTATATTTGTGAAGAACTAGAAAAGTACATATCTAACAAGCACACAATAAGAGAATAAAACTCTTTTTTTTTTCTTTTTCAATATTTAACGTCTATTGAATTTTACATTTCCCTGGCTTAACAATATAAAAGGAGTGTCCCTTAGGAATGATTTCCGACTAGAATTCTCAACAGGCGTGAGGTCTCCCTGAAAAGATGCTGATGTTCTCCTATTTTAGGATATCATTATCGTTACCCTCATCTTGAATATTAGTTTTTCATATAGGTCATCAAGAAGGCTTCATCAAGATTTGTTGATGGCAAGAGAAAGGGTCACCAAGCACATTGATACTCAGAGAAAAAGTAAAGCACACTCAATCTCAGAGTTCGCTGTAATGGCACGCTCAATTCTTCATACAAAACTACAGCAATATCGTCAATCTGCACTCGCTCAAAGAACTTCGCAGAGCTCAACAGTAGACAATAGTGAATACAAAAAACAAAACCTCAAGTTGATGGCATCATCTAACCGTTCTGTAGATCAAACAAAAAGTTCAGTAATCGGCAAAACTTCTCATGGTATGCATTATATAATTAATTATTTCAAGTAATTTGATGTTATTTAAGTGCATTTATTGAAGGTAAGATCTTGCAGTCAATAAGCATCTAAAAGGTTTTGTGTGAGTGTTAGCTAATAAAGTTGATAGTTATTATCAGGGTCTAGTATTTTACTCTGCCTACATCAAATTTGTATAAGGATTTCATATATGTGAGTGTCAGTTAACTGAGAAATTATTATGCGCGAAGTCCGGATACGTCCGGACTCCAATAAAAACGCAATATGTGTTCTTGTACAAAGTGTGTTCAACTTTACACACTATGTACAAATTACAAAATTATGTACATAGTGTTTACAAACTTATATACATAATATACACACTATGTACACAGTGTGTATAAATTTATACATATTGTGTATAAGAACACGTGTCACGGTTTAATTGGTGTCCGGATGTAATTCAACGTCCGTACTCCACACATAATAATTTCTCCAGTTGACTTGGTAAAGTCTTTGAAGGTCTTGTCAGGGTCTTGGATCTAATGCAGCCTTCATCAACTTTCGCAAGAACCAATCTCTGTAAGGTACCATTAATTTGTATTTCCTTAGCCCATTTTTCTACTTTTCAGATAAGCTGGTCAGAATCCCTGAGGTGGGGGAGACGATTGTTGTGCCTTCATTAGGTAAGGAAGCTGTGGTTTTGCAAGTGCTGGCTTCCAAAGGAGAGATTATTGTTCAAGCCAGGAACATAAAGTTGAGGCTTAAATTGAAGGACGTTGTTGCTTCAGAATGAAAGAAGTAAAGTTGTCAATCACTGTGTAACCCTCTTTTAATATCAAAGGAGGCGATCGCATCTTTAGCAGCTAAGAAGATAGTTTCTACACGCATTTGTAAGGAATACTCGTATGCTTTTGAATGAGGATTCAATATTTCATGTAAATCAATTGCTTTGTTTTAACCATTTGTGTTGTAGAACTGGGAAAAGAATTCGTTCTTCAATTTGCATGTCAATTATCAAATGCGATAATGTATGCTATGAGGAGGATAAGATGGTAAAAAACATTTATGTTAGATCATATTAAAAAATATTTCATACATGTATGTCACAAATTTAGTATTTCTTAATTAATGCTTGCTGTTGTAATTCCAACATCTCCAAGTAAAGAGAAGAATCAAACTTCGCAATCCATCCTAACTTAGTGGAATTTTTTCATCTGCGCCAAGCCCTGTAATTTTACATTTTTGGGTATTCCATTAAAAAAGTTTTTGGTGTTTCTCTCTCTCAAGTATCTATTGATGTGTAAAATATACGTACATTATTATGACACTATATTTTTTACTCACTGTTGTGTATATTCTCGTCCGCAACACTTGCTTTGTTGAGAGGATTAAGAATTCATTTTGGACAATTTTTTTACCGTTTTTTAAAGCAAGTTTATAGTGTAAAATTTCTTAAATAAAAAAATTTTAAACTAAAAAGTTGCTATAGAAAGTAATAAAAGTACAATTCCACATTAAGCTAAATTTTATAATTTGATAAAATTAATAAAATAAATAGAAATTGTAGCAAAAAATAATGTCATATATGACTAATATTAAAGATGAGATAATTCTTATAAAATGTAAATAGCATCGAATTAATTTTAAATAAAATTAGATGAGAATTTGATTTTAAATAAACTTGTTGTATTGAATAAATTTCAACCAAATTTATAAAATAAGTCAAATTTAAGCTTATTAATCAAATTGAATATAATTAAGCAGAAATAATAATTTTATGATGGTTTTAGTTAACTTAGGATCTATTCAATAGTTTTCTTCTAATTTTATTTTTAAATTATAATGCTAGTTTTATTTAACTATTGTATTTAATTTATTTTTAAGAAATTTTATGTGTTATGAATTTTTTTAAATAAAAAATATTTTCTTAAAGTAATATTTATAATCATCTTAAAAAAATCTTAACATTCTCAAGTAAATTTTAAGTGATCATAAAATTAGGAATTTGAGATTTAAAATATGCACGCATGCGACATGCATATAAATTTAAGATTAAATTTGCTTCAAATCCTGACCACTCAAATATCTGAATGTACGCTGCCCTGCGCGCGGGCTCTCAGCCGTAGGATTAGATTGTCCGTACAAAAACATGTTTTAAGATACTCTGCGTGCAAGGTTAGTTTTGACATTCGGACTTATCCTCCTCTTCTAGGGTTTACTTTCTGATATATATATAAATCATACTTCCGCTTTCACAAGCCCTAAATCTTTCACCTTCCTTCGATTCAGATCATAAAATTCCTTCAACTATTCAGCTAATGTTTTCTTTTCCGATTTCGAATTAAGTTTCTGCCTGTTTTGGGTTTCGGATGTTGGAGTATTTCACATCTCACAATTTCAGCGATGTAGTTTTGATCAGATCTGATGAATTTCATTTTAGTTTCTCTACCTTTCGGTTTTGTTGGTTCCATTTTTTTTTTCTTTTGGAATTGGCGATGAACGAGCAAAAATTCAGGCAGCCCCTTGGCCTGATCGAGATGGCAAAGGAGGTGTTGTTTTGCTCGGAGATCAAAGCTTTTGCTCTTCAGATACGCTGAGAAGTATGGGGGGGTTTCTCCTTCTTCTTCTCTGATGCGGGTCTAGTAAGCTTTAGTACAAGTTTTTTTTTCCCCTTGAATACTGAAGTTTCCGTCTTCTTCTTCTTCCTGCCTGTAATTAAAAACTCTGAGTTTTTCGTCATCAGATTAATGGTCAAAGCCATATAATTTTCAATCTCTTGAAGAGAAAGGCCGAGCATATGAGATAACACCTTTTAATCTCTTTTAACTACTCCACCTACCATTACTGGAGGACCAATTTTCCTTGGCTTGAGGATGTGTAAAAGTGAAGCTATCCGAAATTTGATTCTGGACAGTAAGAAATAGAGAAACTCTCTAGAGTTTGATTTATGAGGATGAAGAAGCAATGTACGAGAATCTTGATTTATTTAAAGACACAAGGAAGTAATTAAGGGGTTGTTTGGGATGATTAATGGTTTGTTTGGGATTGTTGTATTGTTTTATAAAGTTTTTTTTTTTTTTTTTTTTTTTTTGTGGATATTGATATCATTGAAAAATTATGTTGAGCAACTTCTAAAATTAAATTTGGGATCATTTGAACTATTATTTCAACAAATTTATAGTCAAAATAAACTTTCTGAAGAGACAAAATGAATGACACTAAAAATGGTCTAATTTGAGCCTAAATGTACCTAAATTGAAGGCTTGAAGCACACAATTAGAGGTTCAAAGCATAAATTGGATGATCAAAATTATATCAAAATGTGATGTTTATAGTTAAATCAAGCGGCTCCACGAGGCGAATCCAATGAGCCCAAGATTGTCAAATTTTGACATTATTAAGACACTCAAACATTTGATAAACAATCCATGATTGAGGGAGTTTATATAAGTCGTCTTTGAAACACTCCCAACATGTCATTACTTTTTTATTTATTAGCTATGTCACTCTGAAAAAGTTATAAATCAACCTATCATTATTCATTGAAGGGAGAGAAATAAGAGAAAATATGAAGAGTAATTTGGAAGCTCTTTTGCCACCAAACTCCTCGACCACCGCCCGACCACCAACCATCAATCCCCTAACTTCTGCTTGTTAGTCGTCAAATTTATGCTCTACCACCATTGGACTCTGCTCAACTGATATCATTGTAAACTTTTGAATATTCACACAAAGTTCAACCCACTTCTTAGATTATTGTAATTTGACCGTCCTTAAGGATGGGTCAATTTTTGTAACATATCCAAACAATAGTGGAATTGTTTTGATTATTTGTGATCTCGTGATTTTTTATCTTTTTAAGAATTTTTCACATAAAATTATTGGTAAGTTTAAGTTTTTTTGTTTTTTGTGTTGGATGTCCATGAAATGTTAGGATGAAAAATTCTTTTACTTTATCATTGTGATTATTCTAGCCCGTAATAGTTTGACATCATATTTGAGAATGCAATCTCATTATTACAATCACAGCTGAATCATTTTCAATTGTCAATCAGCACAGCAATCGCAACATTAGAGCCTCCTGCTCTAACTTATATCAATTCAGGAATCAATCCATGAATCATGGATGTCAGATGCCTACTTCTTTCTTTCCCAATGGAAGAAATTCTATTGAGGAAGGGACATCAAATCTGCCCTTGGAAGATGTTTAAGTCGGGCATCCCTGACCAGTAGTGGATCCTGAGTGAGATGAATCCCCTTTTATTGTACTAGTGCTGGTTGGAAAGTACCTTACAGAAGTCACATGATTTCATTCTAAGATTTTTCCATATTGCAGATATGATCCTACAGGAAAAAATCATAGGGTCACATATAATTAAAATAATTACACCATTGTTTAAACATGTTAAAAAGATTAATTCATCTTTAAACTTAGGGACAATCAAATTACAATAGTTTAGAAAGTGGGTTGAACTTCATATGAATATTCAGGAGTTTACAATGATAACGGTTGGGCAGAAGTTTGATGGTGATAGAGTGAAAGTATGACGGTTGCCAGGCAGAAATCCTGCAACAATCGATGGCCGGGTAGAAGTTTGGGGAATGTTAGTGGATGAGCGAAAGTTCAACGATAATCGGTGGTCTGATGGATGTCCGACAATGATTGGTGGTCGAGGAGAAGACTAGTGGCAAGAGAACTCCCAAATTTCTCTGTGCTATTCATTCTCTTGATTGCTCCACTCTTTCAATGAAAAATTAAAGGTCTATTTATAATTTTCTCATAGTACCATGATTAATAAATAGGAAGATAATCATCAAGAACATGTTAAAAGTGTTTCAATTGACAATCGATAGTCACCCCCTCAATCATGGACCATTTATCGAACATTTGAGTGTCTTGATGACGTCACATTTCAACAATCTTGGGCTCATTGGATTTGTATCGTCGAACCGCTCATTTCGAGTATAAATGTCACATTTGTATATCATTTAATTATCAAATTTATACTTTGAACAATCTAAATGTGCTTCACGCCCTCAATTCAGGCCCATTTGTGTTCAAATTGGACAGATTTTAATATGATTTGATTCGTCTCTTCGGAACATTCAGTTTGACTATAAATCTACTAAAATTAGAATTCGAATGGTCCAAGGTTTTATTTAGAAGTTTTCAATTTATATTTGTGTTTATATTTGCACCTGATCAAAATAATTTTTTTTATGAAATATCAAATATAATAATTTTTTTTTTAATTTAAGCATAGAATGTCCAGATCTTTACTGTTTGATCACTCATTTAAAATTAATAAAAATTATTGTGCATCCTTCATCTAATTTTAATCCATATAGCCAAAGAATTTTTATTAGCATCCATCATCAAGCAATCCATTGAAATTTTGAATGTTACAATTTGATAATTCCACTTTGAATGTCCCCCTTTTCAAAAATGACCTCCATTCATAAAGCTCTAGGTCCAACCAAACCACCAATACTTGGCAGTTCAGCAACAGCCAAAAATAGATCCAATTGTTGATAGCAATTCAATTGCTCCACCATGAAAAATCGCCTTCTTTTGCCTTTTACCCAACTTTATTTGCCACCTCCACACCAAAAATATATTTTCAACGATTCACCCCATATTCAAACTATACATATCATCCACTGAATCATTCAAGTCTTCCATGATACCCCTTGCAAGGTTAGGAAGCATCCCCATCCAGCCAATCAGAGTTATCCAAAGATGAATCCTTCATTTTCAATGACAAATGAGTTTTCAAAGCATCATATGAGATTAGAGAGATTGGAACATCTATAATGGACAGTTTTATTCGCATTTGCAAAATAAGGTGACAAGTCCATATCCAGATACTCATCAATGGCATTACCAGAAGATCCATTAGGCACCACCAAGTTTACAAGACAAAAATCCTTCTCAACACCAATAGGCGAAGGTGGCTAAAATTCAGTAAAAATTACAACCATGTCAACAATCTCCAAAGGCACAATATGATCCAAAACCAACGCAGACCAACAAGAGGAAGGTCAATAAGGCCCCCATAACCATCATTCATATTGTTCCCGATAGCAACATCCACCCCACAATCCATATTAGGCTCCACATTAACAAAAGGACAAACATTCATCAAGTCATTATAGTTTCCAATAACAACCTCAGACGGAACATCTAAAGTAACCATAACACAACACACATCCCCCAAGATGCTAGAAGGGGGCATGGACAAACAATCATTTGGTTGAATCGATTAGTTATTGATGCCCAAAATATCAACAGCATCTGCTTTGATTTCATTAGTCAAACAAGAGGCAACAAATTGAAAAACTCCTCCACAATCTTATGATGGTCATCTAAGGTATTTACAAAATCCATAGCAAGAGAAGCGTGCAAACAATGACATTTCAAATATGAATATCCAACGGACTTGCAATGCCTGCAATAATGAGGAAAGGCCCTCCAGATCCACCAACTGAAAATACCCATACTTCTTTGGACAAAGCTAAACTTTATCAGGATAAATTTTGATGATGTCTAGCTCGACAATGACACGAGCAACTAAAGAGCACAAATCACACGCAATAGCATTATATTTTTTAAGGTCCAACAATATTTCCAAAGACAACAGATCCAACCTCATCTCTATAAACCAAGAAAGGAAAATAGTTTTTAAACGGTTGTTAAAAATTGGACTTTTACCCCAAGCTTGATACCCAATTGTTGTTAAATCCCCCTATTTGAACACGTTGCTAACATTCTACAATAATTTTCAAGAGACAAATTACCAAGGCAACGTATTCACAGGGAAATTCAGAAAAATAAATACGAAGTGCACTTTCTAAGAAAGTCACTAACTGATATTTCTTAGAACTTCAAGAGATAACATCATGCCTAAAAAATGCAATTTAAACGCTTGGACCTTTTCGATAGATTTCTGGTGGAACAGATGAGATGAAATGTAGCAAAGATTATAAACCCAGATAAAATGTATCAAATTAGAAAGAACGCCTTCAACATTTTCGGCAAAGATTATAGCAAACCACATCATTTTTTCCTATGATGCAATGAAATTGAAAAAGTTTAGATCTTGCCATCAAAACAAACATACTTAAAAAATAGCTGTTTGCTGTAATAGAGCATCTTTTACGATGCTGGATATTATGAGAACGATGATGGATGCTGGGTATTAAAATCATTCTCTAGTACGACTACACCTTGTAGGAATCCACGAGAATACTCTTCTGTTGTCAAATCAACAACTAGGTAGAAATCTAGGTGTCATTAACTTCATATTGAATGTTTCAGCGACTATTACTACAAATTCGTTTACACGAGCAGTTGCCTTTAGGATTCAGGCATTCTTAGAACCGCCATGAAGTCGAATTAATTTTCAAACGAGCAATCTAGCTTCAAGAAACATATAAATCAGAAATTTTAGCTTAAACTGCGCCAGATGCAAGAAAAATCAACTTAGACAAGTTGTTCTTGAAAAGAAATACATGGGACAGAATATCAACATGAAAAGGCCAACAAGATATTAAACTTTAAAGATAGATCATTCATTACAGCAAATAGAGAAAACCTAATCTGATTCTGAAAGTAAAAACCCTATCCACCAAAACCATAAAGAGTGCGACCCTGGCGCTTGAGCGCATAAACAACGTCCATGGCGGTGACGGTCTTACGGCGGGCGTGCTCCGTGTAGGTCACAGCATCACGGATAACATTCTCAAGAAATATCTTGAGAACGCCGCGGGTTTCTTCATAGATGAGGCCGCTAATTCGCTTTACACCACCTCGGCGAGCAAGCCGGCGAATCGCCGGCTTGGTGATTCCCTGGATATTGTCACGGAGAACCTTCCTGTGCCGCTTCGCTCCGCCCTTGCCCAGCCCCTTTCCTCCCTTTCCTCGGCCCGACATCTTCTCTCTCTCTCTCTCTTACTGTGACTCTCTTTCTGTTATCAAAGCAGTCAATCTGAGGAGAAATCAAAATCAGTGTCGTGTTTTATAGTACTTTGCCAGTGCACCATTACCGTTGGATGTGAAGTGATCCGCGTGAAGAAGAGATAATACATTTTGACCGTTGGATGAAAAATACTTGCTTTCTATTGGACAAACGAGCTGGAACGGGATTTCCGAGTCGCGGGGATTCGGGCGAAGTCGGCTCCCTTTGCCTAGTGACCGTAAAATTTGATTGGCTTCTCGAATTTCTGTGTTTTTAACTAAAAAAATCTAACTATATCAATGATAAATTATTATTATATATACAACTATTATAAAAATAAATTGTTATTCATTTTATATTAAATTATTTATTTTTTTCATTTATATTTAATTTGATTTGGAGATTTAGGGTTTGTTTGTGATAGCTTTCTAATTGATTTATTTTTTAGATCAGAGCCACACTTTTATTTGGAAAATACATTTCTGCCGGCTTTTTTGAATTTTTTGTGATGAAAAGTTGATTTTTGCAATCAAATTTATTAATATTTGAAATATGTAAATAAAGCACACTGGTTGGAGTCTACCTACAGATCCCTCACACCAATCAACAACATGATAATGAACTAAGCAATATCCATAGCATGGCATGTCAATCAAAAAGAAAGTTTAGCAAGGCTTAGTAGATGGTAACATCAAGTTTATTTCACTTTGACTATGTTAACTTCAAAATCAAATCATCCAATTTATTAATGTCATACATTAGCTTCATACTGAACTAAGCAATGTTCGCACATTAGCATACATGCATGCACCTCAGGGCGGAACCGCGGAACCAACCCAAATTTTGGACCCCCCCCCAATTGGTTGCATTTGGTTCCGCCCTTGATGCATCGCAATCATTTTATTAGCCTCTTCGTTGTTTGCTCGCACATATACAATCATTTTACATTAGTATGCATGCATATATCGCAATCTTCAATACAATGCAAATTATTGTATTTCGCTAAATTAATGTGGAGTGAATCAGGAGTAATTTGGAGAAAGAAAAGGGTATATGTATATCATGGATGCATGCTATATATATGATGTATCTCATGCACCTACTATGTTACATTGAATGTTGAATCTCATCCATGTACAAGACCGAACTGTATGAATTTGAGATGCTAAATGTTAGAGCGCATTAATGACAATGCCTACAAGCTTGACTTGCCAAGTGAGTATGAAGTTAATGCTACTTTTAATATTTTTTATTTAAGCCATTTTGATGCATATTCTGATTTGAGAGAAAATCCTTCACAAGAGGAAGGGAATGATACATATCAAGCTAACGGTCAAGGAAGACATATTCAAATTACAGTTGAAGATCCTATATACATGCAAGCAAAGTCATAAAGGCAGAAAAGAATTTATTGGGCTGCTTACTCAACTTTAGGCCCACGAGGACCGAAAGAGGCCAATTAATAAGAGCCTAATTGGATTATCAAGTGCTAATATCTTCCAAGTGATTAGTTAGTACTTTAATAAAATTATTTTTAGCTCTTCTTGTATTATTTCTACATTTTAAGAGTTCGGAGAGGTTTTATGTAAATTATAACAATCTTGCCTATTTAAAGGCCATGTGAATGAGAATTGATTTATCAATGAAGTGAATTATTTTCTCTCATATTCAGCCCATTGGGCTTTTCTTGGAGTCTCCAAGAATCCATTCCTGCTCCTCAGGTCTTAATCGAGACCCTCTTCTTCCTCTCCAGCTTTCAGCCACCAATTCTAAGGTTTTGTCATGGAGTCTCCAAGAATCGAACACCCAATTCCCTCCAACCATCTAGCTCTCTCTCAAGGCCAGCCGGTCCTCTCTTCCTTCCCTGACAACCATCCACAACGTCAACCAACATGCTGAAATATCAGCCTTCCTGCCCATTGTTGCCGCAAGAATAGCAATCCAGTCCTTCAAGAACCCTTCTTCTTCCCTCCATTCCACCAGATTTGTTGCCTCCTAGCCGTCCAACTGCTGCTCCAACCGTGTGTTCTTCAAGATACGACTGCCATTAATCCATCCAAGCTTCTTGGCTTCTATTTCCTCAATTCCCTTGCTATTCACCATTGGTTGTTCAACCTCTCATGACCTCTACAATCTTCAAGACCTCTTCAGAATTCATCAGAATTCTGTAAATGACATAATTCCAAAATTTTCTTAATTCTTTGTTCTGGCAAATCAGCCATCAAGTGCCTTCTCTCTCTCTCTCTCTCAGGTTTTGTAAATCGGGTTCTATGTTTTCCCTAAATCCCCGATAAGGTTGTATCAACATAATTCAAGGCAACTCTTATTCCAAAATAAATGAAAATTAATTTTTAAAATATAAAAATGATATATTTTCCTATTAACATATTCTCATAAAATTATTATGATTTAGTTATTAATAAATATCCAACAACATATTCTCAAAATATTGCATCAAAGAGGTGAATGCTTAATGTATATGTTTCTATTATAGATGATTTCATTAGGCTTAAGAATAACATTGTGGGGGATGTGAAAGTAAACAGCGCAATGAAACAAACAAGAATAAATATAATGCAGCGGAAAGTAAAGGAAAAAAGGATATCAAGATTTAACGTGGAAAACTCCAAAATCGAGAAAAAATCACGAAATCACACCACACCAAGAAATCCACTATGAAAATTGAGAGAAATAAGTACATATCTCTCTTTTCTCTCACTCACTCATTGCTTCTCTTCTCAATGACACCGTTCTCACACACTAAACAAAAGATAAAAGCCTTTATATACCACATATGGATGACACCCTTGAAAATAATGATAAAGAAAATTGTCCAAGTGTTGCGGCGCTCCGTCTTTCCTCTCAGCAAACTTTGCAGCTCCAGGGTGGTCGGCTACACAGCATCGGGGCGTTGTACGAAAAAAAAAAAAATCACCCGAATCAAAACAAGGGTAGGATCTCCCCCAATGAGCACGAAAAATTGACCTGAGGTCTGAGACAATATTATAACCTGATTCATTGACACAATCATACTTCACACAGGCTAACAAACACTTTTATTGAAATTGCCTATTGAGTGCTTAGTGTTAGAGAGATTAATAATTTATTTATTTTTAATATTGAATTAAGTGGGTTCACTACCAAAAAAGTGGGGATTTCTTTAGCGCTTGATAGCAACAGTCTTAAAACCGCTGAATTAATTAAGTGGGTTCAAATGACATTTAGGTACTTCTTTTATTTTTCTCAAGTTTTAGAATTAAAGATACACAAATAACAGAATAAGGCATTATTTGCTTTAAATAATATGCTTGATAATTAAATACATCATTTAATGGTCATAATTGCGCATCTTCTTATTGCCTATTTTTAACATATCACTTGTTTTTCATATATTTACTATTTTCAACTAATGATGTCAATTTATCTTAAACACTGTTGTGTTTTTCATTTAATTAGTTATTATTTTAAAATGAAGAAATAATTTTCTTAAAAATTAAAATCATTGGGCATAATTAAAAAATTAAAAAAAAAATCATTCTTCAGAGAAAATATTGATACAATTAAAAATTATGTATGAATGAACATAAATTTTAGTCAAATAATCATTATGTTTGGCCCAAGTGGATGAATGCATCGGACTTATTGTGTGATAGGAAAGTACTAGTCCCCCTCAAACTTAAGGGAAAATTCTACAAAATGATCGTGAGACTTGCAATGCTTTATGGTGCCGAATGTTGGCCAATCAAAGAGAAGCATAATACAAGTTTAAGTGTTGTAGAGATGAGAATGCTCAGGTGGATGACTGACTTTACCCTTAGATATAGGATACGAAATAAGCGTATATGTGAAAAGGTTGGTGTAGCACCAGTGGAAGATAAGATTAGAGAGAGTCGCCTTAGATTGTTTGGTCACATAAAATGGCTGTCTTCCGATGACCCGATTAGGAAAGTAGAGGTATTATATTTGACTTATGTTAAGAAAGGTAGAGGTAGACCTAAAAAGAGTTGGTTAGAAAATATTAGAAATGATCTTTTTTTATTAGATTTAAACAAAAATTTGATTTTAAATAGGACACAATGGAGAAAAATGATTCATATAGTCGACCCCACATAGTGCGACAATTGCCTAATATTGTTGTTGTTGTTGTAATCATTGTGTAAATTATTCTAAGATTGTTTTGTCAACTATGATTTAAAAAAAAATCAAAATTTTTAATAATATAATACAGTATCTATATCTATCAATGTCCATATCAATGCTCAGTGTCGATGCACAGCAATCAATCAGTGAAATCAATGAAATCGTACGATCTAGTAAATCCAATCAAAGTCGATAAAGCAGGAATCTATAAAACAATGAATCCATAAATCAATACAGTAAACATGCAATTCAATACTATATACTGGACAAGTACAATCAACTGGCTATGTTGCTGTTGTAGAATCCATATTGCTGTTGTAGATATCCATACATTGGTTCTATCAATAAGAGTCGTCACTCTTTTCGCCCGTCGGCATTTCTATAAACTCCTTATGACTCCCAATCGTTATATCAATGATCAATGGTTTAAAGGAAAGCCCGTCGGCCCACCATCCTGTACAGGTCAATATCAATCTCCAACCAATGTTCAACCAGGTTATACGTGTGTTCCAGTATCAATAATCAATCAATAATCAGTTTAATAATCAATATTAAAGCAATCTATAGCAATTATATCAATAATCATAAGCATATCAATCTAATCTATCAATTTCGGGAAAATCAGAAATCGTACGAAAATCGGGCAGAGTAACGACAGTCGGTCAAATTTACACAAAAATCCTGCAAAAAGGCACAAGTTCCAAATTCTTCCAAATTACAGTAGAACATTCACGACATCAATATAAGACTATTATTCTATAGAATCCAAATCAAATCACGTCCTGATATTTTTCTATTCAATTAAAATCGCGTAGAATCAATTCCGACCGGTAAAATCATCGCAGAAAATACTCAAATCGTGTACAATATTCATATCTATAACATACTAAAAGTTGTGCGGTGAAAGTCGTGTCAATACAAAATCAGGTCAAAAGTTCGACTACAAAAACACAAAACAGTGCACAACTCGATCAAAGTACAAAATCTTCGAAAACAGAAATAGGGTTCGGAGTCCTTACAGCGAGACAAACAAATCTTCTAACAGCGTCGTCGGACGAAAAGCGCTCCACGGGCTCCAAAACCAAGCTTCCTTCTTCTCTTCCTTCTCTTTCTCTCTCTTGCCTTTTCTCCTCTCCAAAATGAATCCAAAATATCTAAAATCCGATATTTATTAACACTGATCGTCCTGGACGATCCAAATTTCGTCCTGGTACGATGGGTTATCTGGACAGATTTCGTACAGACGAAATCCAAATTCGTCCCGGGCGACTAGCTCTCTGGACACATTTCGTACAGACGGATCGTCCCGACTGCTCCAGGTTCGTACAGACGAAAATGGCAGATTTCTTCACAAATTTCTTCAGTTCGTCCCGTACTAAATCCAGTTCGTACAGACGAACTGCACTAAAAAAAATCAGCTTTTTGAAGGGTTTTACAGCGGCTCAGTCCTCCACTTCTTCCTCCACGGGCGTTGCGACGGGAGCAAACTCCACTACCACTGCTATTTCTCCCTCCCTCAAGTTCGTGATTTCAAATCTCAAACTCCTTGTTCCGCACGCTCTTACGGCAGATAACTTTCCTATTTGGAGTACCCAGATTGCCAAGTTGTTTCGGGCAAATGGGTTTGCCGAGTTTCTTGATTCACAACCGGACACCGAAAATCTTGATCCAAATCAAGATACGCGTTCCTGGCAGATTACCGATCAAAATCTGGCGACCGCTATGTGTTCTACTATCTCGCCAGCCCTTCTTCCTTATGTGATTCATCTTGAATCAACTCATACCATCTGGAAAACTCTTCATACCAGATTTCAATCCTCGAACCGTTCCAAAGTAATACAGCTTAAAAACGAGCTTCACAACGTTTCAATGCAGTCCATGAACATGACTCAGTGCCTTACTGAGATCAAGAAAATCGTTGATCAAATTTCCTCCGCCGGCTCTTCGGTCGATCAAGAAGACGTAATACTCTACATACTCAATGGCCTTCCTCCGGAATATCACGCCTTCACGACAACCATCCGCACAATGCAAGGATCTCTGTCGCTGGACAGCCTTTACGCGCTTCTTGCAAGTGAGGAAATTCACCTCAGGAATATTGCACATAAGTTTATAAAAATGCAGGATAATCAGTCTGCCCTCTACTCGATGCGTGGTCGCGGCAAACGTGGCCGGGGTCGATTCACATCTGGATCGGCGACAGGGCCGAACAGCAACTCACAGTCTGCTATCACCTGTCAAATATGCAAAAAGAGAGGGCATGCTGCGGATGCGTGCTGGCATAGGCTCAACATCAATTACAAGCCCACTCCGGTCGCTGCTAAGACCAATACCGCTCTCACTGCGAATCAAGATACCACATCAAACACCGATTGGTTTATCGACTCCGGTGCCTCATCTCATATGACAAACACCACCGAAAACATGGACTTCTACAACACCTACAATGGTGCTGATACGGTAATTCTAGGGGATGGGAGATCCGTCCCTATTGCACATACGGGCTCGGGCATCCTTCCAACCCCGTCGAGTAAGCTTATTTTATCACAACTTTTACATATTCCTTCACTGTCTTACAATCTTTTATCAATATCCAATCTTGCTAAAGACAACAATATATCTATTACCTTTGACTCTAACGGATTTGTATTTAAGGATCGGACAACAAATCAAATCCTTCTTAAAGGACCATGTGATCAAGGCGTCTACAAGATCGCAAATCGCAGATCCAGAAATAGTTCTTCCGCTCTCTCGGCAACCTCCGCTTCTTCGAACATTTGGCATATGCGGCTAGGTCATCCTCATCAACGGGTGCTCACTCAGATTGCTAATAATAATCCTGATTTACGTGTTAAGCTTTGTAAACTTCCGTGTAGTTCGTGTATGTCCTGTAAAGGTCATAAAATTGTATTTGATCGATCTATTAGCAAAACTACTGCTCCGTTGCAATTAGTTCACTCCGATGTATGGGGTCCGTCGCCGGTTTCGTCTCACCAAGGATTCAAATACTACGTCATTTTTGTCGATGATTTTTCGTGTTACGTTTGGTTGTTTCCCATCTTGCACAAATTCGATGTTACTAACATTTTTATTCATTTCACTACGTTTATTGAACGACAAACAAATCATAAAATTAAAACCATCAGAACCGACGGAGGCGGCGAGTTCGTCAATTCTCGGTTTAAAGCCTTTACTCAAAATGCAGGTATTAAGCACCAAACCTCGTGTCCATATACTCCCGAGCAAAACGGGATAGCGGAGCGCAAGCATCGCCACATAATTTCTACTACAAGGACTCTTCTACAAGCGGCAGGTCTACCGTTTACATACTGGCTTGATGCAGCTCTAACGGCCACATACCTCATAAATCGTCTGCCGTCTGCTACGACCGAGAACACTGCTCCACTTACCAAGATGTTTAACATCCAACCTTCCTACAAACACCTTCGCACATTTGGTTGTGCCTGTTTTCCGCTTCTACCTTCCGCCCGGCATATGAAACTTCAGCCCAATTCACCACCGAATATCTTCTTGGGCTACTCTGATACATCCAAAGGCTATAGATGTCTCGACATGGTAACAAACAAAATTACTATTTCTCGAAACGTTACTTTTGACGAATCTCTTTTTCCCTTCAAAAACAGGCAAAATCAACCTCCCTCTGTTGCGTCTGATGTACCGTTTCCACTCTTAATTCCCTCGACTATCTTACCTGTGCAATCTACCAACGATACAACACAACCATCTCAACTAAAGACGCCCACAGTGCCTGTCTCTGCCGATACTTCTCTACGGCGCCTACAAGCTCCCGAGATCATCTCTGCACAGGCTCCCTCTACAAATCAAATCAATACTTCAACACATCACATGACGACCAGAACCAAAACAGGATCTTTGAAGCCGGTTAACAAGCTTAATCTGATACATCACAATCAGAACAATTTAGATCCGACTTCATATACCGAAGCAAGCAAGAAGTTCGAATGGCGTCAAGCTATGGCTCAAGAATTCTACGCACTCCAAAGGCAGGGAACTTGGACACTTGTTCCGCCACCCAGTCACGGATCCATTCTTGGTTCTAAATGGACATATAGAACAAAATATAATTCGGACGGATCTATCGCACGGTTCAAAGCACGACTTGTGGCATTAGGTAATCAACAAGAATATGGACTTGACTTTCACGAAACCTTCAGCCCGGTCGCAAAACTACCCACTATACGGATTCTACTTACCATCGCCCTGTTTCACCGTTGGGAAATACATCAACTGGACGTGGCCAATGCCTTTTTGCACGGCGACATTCAAGAAACAATCTTTATGCGCCAACCTAAAGGATTTGAAGATAACTCCCATCCGCATTATGTCTGTAAGTTAAAAAAGGCGATATACGGTCTTCGCCAAGCTCCCAGACAATAGTATACTACCTTCACATCCTATCTTCTTTAAATTGGTTTTTCTCAAAGCTAGGCAGATCCGTCGCTCATGATTTTTCACCAAAACAAAGTTCGTATTTATTTACTCGTCTATGTGGACGACATTCTACTCACCGGAAATAACACTCAAGCCATGAATGACCTGGTCGGTAAACTCAAATCCAAATTCACAATGAAGCATCTCGGTTTGGCACACCAATTTCTGGGCATCAAAATTGATCGATATCCAGATAAGTACTTTCTATCTCAATCTCTATATGCTAAATCTATTCTTCAAATGGCCGAGTTACCTAAATGTAATTCGGTCGCTAATCCTTCAATTACCAAACCCGCAGCTTTGTCTCCTCCACCAACTCCGATCTTCGACGCTGTTTTATACAGAAGATTAATCGGAGCTTTACAATATTTGACACTGACGCACCCTGATATATCGTATGCTGTCAACGCCCTTTCCCAACACATGCACAGCCCCGAACCGCTTCATACAGTCATGCTAAAGAAACTTCTGCGGTACATACAAGGGACAGTGGATTTTGGACTACCACTCACACGTTCACACCTTAATCTAACTACGTATTCAGACGCTGATTGGGCATCAGACCCAATCACCCGTCGATCTACTTCAGGCTTCTGTACCTTTCTTGGCGAAACATTAATCTCTTGGACAGTTAAGAAACAAACCACCGTATCCCGTTCTTCCACAGAATCGGAATACAGAGCGCTTGCATCGGCTACCGCGGACACAATTTGGATCAAGCGTCTTCTTGCAGATTTTCAGGTTTCTCACACTCAGCCAGTTGACGTCTTCTGCGACAACACATCCACGATTGCCCTCGCAAACAATCCTGTCTTTCATGCTCGCACTCAACACATCGAAATCGATCAAAGGTTTGTGCGGGATAACATTCAAAACAACACAATTCGCCTGCTTCCAATCAATACCGTGGATCAAAAGGCGGACATTCTCACCAAACCTTTGAATACTCCACGGTACAAATTACTTCGCAACAAACTGACCATTGGACCCAATACTCAGCTTGCGGGGGCATGTTAAGACCCACTGGTTTAATTCACATTGCTATCCTATCACTAACCGACACGTGTACCTATCTTATAAACAGCTCTATAAATACAACTGTACATCTGTAAACAATAATAGAAAAAGATAAATAAAGTTTTTCATTTGTTCTTCTTCTTCCTCTGTACTGTCGGTTTATGCGTTTCTACATACTCAGTCACTCGCGTCCACGCCTGCCTGCCATCGGCCGTCGCGCCTTCGTCGTCCTCGGGTCAACTGTGTCGGGTCGGGTCAACTAAGTAACACGACGGGTCATGTCCGGGTACGGATTTCCAACCTGTTTACATAACTCAGTTGGGTTAGGGTTGACCCATTTGAACAAGAGTCAGTTCTGGGTTCGACTGGAAACTGGTTTTGACACCCCTATTGGGAAGCCAAAGAGCACGGAAATTTTTTTTTTTTTTGAATGGGGATATCTACCTGCTTCCACCTCCTAAGAGGTTTGGAGCTAAACTATCCCTGGCAGGCTACCACCAACCAGCCCCACAAGTGCAAGACCTGCATTTATTTTCCCACTAAGGGTCACACGCATAGAGAGGGCATTCAAACATGAGTGGGGGGTTCCCAGCCATGCTAGCACCAACCCAGCTAAGCCCGATGATGTAGCACCAAAAAATTTAAGAAAAAAATTAGTTAAAATGTCTGCTTTGGTCGATTCTCCCGATGTGATCCTGTCGGAGAAGAAATCAAAGAATAAATTAGGTTTTATGATAGGTGTATTGTATGCATTCATTACTTACAGGTAACAGGTGCATCCTGGTTTGATTTGTGTAAACTGAGCATGGATCAGTTCATCAAACTGTTAGCTAACCTGCCACCTTTAAACGTGGGATACACGAGTACCTGTAGCTGATAATTCTCTCTCTGGACTCTGACCAATTTTTTTTCCAATTCAAAAGTAGCCTTTTTCTCTTTTTCTTTGCTAGTAGGCTTATCAGGGTTCTTGATTAAGAAGAAAACTGTCTAGATCCATCCTTTGCTTACGACAGAGCTTGGTTTGGGATTTACCGCTTCTGACCCTTCCAAAGTCTCAGTGTTTCTTAAAGTTAATTAATTGTTTATAGTTGTAGGCTGTAAGATCAAGTTGACTCAGAAGTAATATTTTTATCTAAATAGTTAATTTAAAATTTTAAATATTTTCTATTTTATTTATTTTATTATGTAAATGATTGATTTTGATTGTATGATTTTTACATAAATTTATTTTAAATAAAAATTTATTATGTTTTACATTACTTGCGACGTTGGATTTTGTGAGGCATCAAGCAACGGTCATGACGCATGATTTGAATGCTCGTGGGAATGCGAAGCTAGTAGAGATGAATGCAATGCGTGAGAGAATTAATAACAAGCAACAACAATAAAAAAGGGGATGAAGAGATTGGAAAATAGGACTGAGAGTTTAGGTGAGCAAGAGAGGGTGACTTTTTAAAGAGATTATTCTTGCAGTGTCCGGATGCGTCCGGAGATCAATTTAAATGCGTCACATCATTCAATGCAATGTGCATTGAGTGACGTGGCACATCTGGATTGGCCTTCAGACTGACACCGCACAAAATAATTTTTTTGACTTTTTGACTGCCAATAACCATTTTGGATGGACGGTTTATTTTTTTGTGGGGGGGGGTGATGCAGAGCATCTTAACTAAATTGCTCCTTAGACCTATTTTAATTAGTTTGTTATATGCTTCTTTCAAGTATCTTCTAGAGTGTTCTATTTAGCCTATATAAGCAAGTATTGTAACAGGGAAAACTCATTGAATGAAATATTTTAGTCTTTGAAGCCTAGAGAGCTTGTCTTCTTCTTCCCTCGATTGGGAAACCGAAATCCTTATTGCAGGTCGAGTCTTCCGACGATCCACTACATCAGTTGGTATCAGAGCCTGGAGCTTGTGAAGATCGATGGACTGCGGAAGAAGGTCGGCTGTTGATGACGATCGAAGCCGCAAAATAAGATTGGCGGTCGACGACGTTCGACGCCAAGGAAGGTGGGCTGTCGACGATGCTCGAAGCCGGATCGCCTTCTATCAAGCTCAATCGAAGGAATCGCTCGATCAGGTAGACAAAAACCTTGATCGGATTCGAGAAAACCTTCGGGCAATAAGGAAGATGAGAATGTCACCGGCAACCATACCGATGTATTCCTCTTCTTCTTCGCTCTCCTTGTCTGCTCCTCGCAAACGACATCAGTCCCACCATTCTCCCACCGGCATTGTCGAATACCCTCCGCTCGAGCTCCCTCTCCGATGGCGTGATCCGCCGCTGAAGTATCCACCGCTCGAGCATCCGATGCGATGGCGAGATCCTCCACCTGATCCCGAAGTTCACAAACATCCCTTGCCCAACGACTCGCTTCCGCATCCGCCTCCACAGACTACTTCCGCATCCTCTGTTTCTCCTCCGATCTCCTCTACTGCATCCGCATCCAACTCCGTTAGACAACGACTCGCTTCCGCATCCGAGCGCGATTCCGCGCCTGGAGACGAGCGAGAACCCGTGCCTGGCGACGACCGCGATTCCCTACCCGACGAAACAACCGTCTCAGCAACTCAACATGATCACGGCCCGACCTGCTCTAGCTCCAGAAGGACGGATGCAGACGATGTCCCAAAAATGAGCTCTCTCACTCCGCCTTCAGAACCCACTCCTCTCCCCCCCGGATCTTACTTTAAAGGTCGATTCCGCAGCTTGCGTCCAAGACGGTCTCCCACGACCGGACTTCGCGGCCGCCTCAGCTACCTCCCGCGATCCAACGCTTCTCCCTTCGTCCGCACCAGCTGATCCTCCTACAAGTCCTTCACCGCCAGCTCCGGTTGCTACTACTCCCAAACCCACTATCAAATCTAATTCCTCCGCCTCTATCGCAAGCTTCGACTCTTTGGTTGGAGCGACGCCTGAATCAGGTGAGAGACAACCCACGTTGTCGGACATAACGCTAGAGCTCGTACATCATGTATCCTCTGCATGTGGCGACTTCCCTATGTGTGAGTCCGTCCGGTTGTCACAACAGGAGGACTGCACCAGTGAAAGGACACTTGCAGTATTTACCAGGAGTAGCAAGTCTTCGGAGGGCCTTCTTGAGAAAGTCACAGATGACGATGTCAACATTGGCCTCACTTCAGAGACATATGAGGAGGCCCGTGTAGCAGAGAAGATGTTAGCAGCTCATCCTTTTCTTTCAAAAATAGACATGTCCTTAGGTGGAATCCATGTCTTAGCGAGCAAGCTGATGCAGATCCAAATGCAAAGCATAGCAAAATGCCTGCCTAATAATGTCTTCATGGAGGTCATGCCTCAAAATCCGGTTTCCGTGGCTGATGTTATGAGAGATTTTATGCAGATTAATAGCAAGACAAATGATGCGCTTAGGAAGCTGCTACTAAGAGGAGAATTTGATGCTTTTCCGGATGATGAACAAATGCATGGCATGGCTCAGCTAGCTAAAAATCTGCATGCTTATGTGACCGCATTGCCAAATAATATCCCGACTAAGGAGTCAGCTTTCTTATTGGAGGTAAGTAATGGTTTTCATGCCCTTAGCATAACAAAAAAATATACAAATGATAGGAAGGTGTATGGCAAAGCCTCTAGAAGTGGTATTGAGAATGTTCTTTCTGCAGGAGTTAAAATGCCCAGTTTAAATTCTATGGATAAAACTGATCCAGCACAATGCAGACAAGCTGCTCGATGAAATGTCAGTGATAGATCTGATCCCAGATTTGTTAGGCAATATGAGGAGGCTCTCATTAGGGAAGAGTTTGACTGGGACATTTTGCAATGGCTGAAAGAAGGGGATCTTATCAACATTGTTGTTGTTGCTCTTGGGCCCATAAATAAAATTGTTCAAATGCTTAATGAGCTTCGTCAAAGAGTCTGTCTTGCTGAAGATGGGGAAAATAACCCTTCTAACGCAACTTCAAACAACAAGGAAAACATAGATTTACCAGGAAACAATTTGATCACTGAATACCTCAATGGGCTAGTGGCATATAAGGTAAGAGGCTTCAATCGTGTTAGAAACGTCTTATTAAATGATGATCTAACAGCAAAAGTGGGGGACTGTGGCCTTTCAAGATTATATGATCATGGAAATATTCCTAAGGCAACTCCTGTAATTGAAACCTTCGGTTATATGCTACAGAGTTCAGCAAAAATGGCAGGGCAACTGCCTCCACAGATATATATGCATTTGTGGTCTTTTTGTTTGAAGCTGCATGTGGAAGAAGACCAATTCTTCAAGATGCTTTACCAAATGTTCAAGAATTTAATGGACTGGGTATCAAACAATTGGAAAAGATCGGGAAAGATGGCGCTTTCGTTGAGAGACGCAGAAACTTTGATCCAGGGATATGGTTATGAGTTTTATACCTACCTCCTTCTTGATGGCGCGTTGATTATTATCATCTCGACGAAGTCGAGCTCTTTTTTGACGCAAGGGGAGAATGATGCAGAGCATCTTAACTAAATTGCTCCTTAGACCTATTTTAATTAGTTTGTTATATGCTTCTTTCAAGCATCTTCTAGAGTGTTCTATTTAGCCTATATAAGCAAGTATTGTAGTAGGAAAAGCTCATTGAATGAAATATTTTAGTCTTTGAAGCCTAGAGAGCTTGTCTTCTTCTTCTTCCCTGGATTGGGAAACCGAAATCCTTCTTGCAGGTCGAGTCTTCCGACGATCCACTACATCAGGGGGTGGGGAGGAAATTGTTGGTAGATGATCACTTTTCTTTGTGGTAAGAGAGAGATACAAAAAAGAATCAAAATAGGGTTCAGAAATAAAAACTTACATAATACTAAGCACCAAAGAGAAACTAAAGTTTGCAAACCAACCTCAAAAAGACCGGAGAAATGTAAAAATGTATAAGACTAGAAAGCGCAAAGGCTAGTCAAACTCAGGAAGCAAAAGAGAGCTTCTTGTAAAAATTATCAACAGAGAGTGAGCACAACCCAGTTGCCTAGACTATGAACCTTCCATTAAATGCGTCAGTATGCTAAAGAAGAAACCATCCACAAAAACCAGCCAGCAAAGCACTCAAATACCAACAAAAGCTCACCAAGGTTACCAAAGCAAAGCTAAAACATTGTATAAAATAAAAATACCTAATTTGTGTTCCAAAAGTAACTAAAATATACTCACGTGAAGTCTTATCATTTACTGAAATTAACATGTGCAAATAAAATTTGGTGTGAGCAATACTTGCCTAGTAGGTTATTCAGAACCTATTGCATAATTCAATATACACATTTGAAATAACTTGTACAATAAATATAACATTGTATGAATCGTAAAGCATAATTATAGTGAAATGAGATTTTGAAAGTGGACTAAGATATTTATATAAAATATTTTGCCTATCATCATGCTATAGGTGAAAAAAACAAAATCATGATAACTGAGTAATATTTTGATCAGAGCAAGTATTAACATTTTTAAATATATTTTAAAAAATATATTAAAATCAATATTTAAGTTGATTATGACTTGCCAATTTTCTAAATATATCTTCTTTTCAGGAAATTTCTCAAGAATCACATCATAGAAAAATTTGCCCAAGAACAGAATGTATCTATCCATTTTCTCATAATAGTAAGCGCCAATTCACACTTCTCATGATCTCTGAAACTATGCTATCAATCTTTCTGTTAAGCTGTTCTTAGCATCAAGATTAAGATCAACGGCTAGGGTAAGCTGCCCGAGCTACAATCAACTGTGGAGCAGGCTCCCTAATCCCAACTGTAGAAAGTCAACGAACTTGGAAAGAAAACTTGGTACCCAAGGACTGACTTGCAGCTGTGGAATTAAGATTTTAATCATATTTTTATGAGTCCTTACCTATATTATCTGCCAACCTTTAATGACTTCGATTATAAAATCATAGCAAAAGCTTCAACACTAATCCGCACCATCTTCATCTTACAATGTCTTCTTCTCTTATGTTCTCGTTCGCCGCCATGGCTCTCCTCCTCCTCCTCCCCACTTCATCCTCCTCTTCTTCAAGCCTTCTGACAGATGAGCAAGCTCTCCTCGCTCTCAAAGCTCTAATAACCAGTGATCCATCCAATGCCCTGTCTTCCTGGATCAGTACCACTAATGGCGACGCCAATTCAACAAGCCTCTGCACCTGGAGTGGCGTTTTCTGCGATAAACCTGAAAACAGAGTCACCGGTCTAGACTTATCCGGCCTGACCTTATCAGGCATTTTAACCCCGAGCCTCGGCAACCTCACCTTCCTCCGCTTCCTTCTTCTCCAATCCAACCAGTTCACCGGCTTTCTTCCAGACCAAATAGGCCGCCTCTCGCAACTGCAACTCCTCAACGTAAGTTCAAACTTCTTCAACGGTCAAATTCCAAACAGCATAACCAACTGCACCGACCTCACCACCCTCGACCTCTCCGGAAACAAGTTTTCCGGCCAAATTCCGCCGAAGCTTCAACGGCTCCGCAACCTTCAAATAATGAAACTAGCACAGAACCAGCTGACTGGCCCCATCCCTCTTTCCATCACCAATATTTCAAGTCTTACGTATATTGATTTGGGTACCAATTCTATCTCTGGTTCGATGCCTGATGGCTTGTCCCGTCTGAAAAAGCTACAGCACCTGCAGCTCTCAATCAACAACATCGAAGGTAATTATAGGATATAATTAATCTGTTCATGCTTAAGTATTCGGCGATCATTAAACAACATGAAAAATAAAAATTATGATTTTTGAAAAAAAAATATATATTTACTTCTGAAATAAATGAATTATTGTATTTCTGAAATATATCATTGCAGGAATGGTCCCCCCTTCTCTCTACAACCTCTCCTTGCTCGTCACCTTCGCAATGGCCTCAAACAACCTCCACGGCGAGATTCCTGCTGACGTCGGCTTCCGTCTGCCGAACCTCCTCGTCTTCCACGTCTGCTTCAACGAGTTCACAGGCAAGATCCCGCCGTCGCTTCACAACTTAACCAGAATCCAAAGCCTGCGCATGTCGCATAACTTTCTCCGAGGAACCATCCCACCGGGCCTCGAAAAGCTTTCAGAACTCGTCATGTACAACATCGGCTACAATCTTCTCTTCACCTACGACGGTCTTCAGTTTGTAACTTACTTAACAAACAGCACTAAGCTTCAATTCCTTGCTTTTGATGGAAATTCATTCGATGGTGTCATCCCTGCTTCGGTAGGTAATCTTTCTTCTGTTCTCACAAAGCTTTATATGGGAGAAAGTGAGATTCGTGGCAGTATACCGGAGTCAATAGGCCGGCTTAAAGCCTTGCAGCTGCTTAACATGAGCAACAATTACATCTCCGGTGAAATTCCACAAAACATAAGCCAACTTATCAATCTTCAGATGCTCGGGCTCGCCGGAAATAGAATTACAGGGCGAATTCCGGTGGGTCTTGCTGAGCTCCGTAATCTGAGCAAGCTCGAAATGTATGGAAATGATCTTGAAGGTGGCATTCCGAGCAGTTTTGGAAACTTTGAGAGTTTGTTATATCTAGATTTATCAGGCAACAGGCTAAATGGAAGCATACCAAGAGAAATCTTCTCCCTCACCAGTCTTACGTCTCTGTTAAATCTTTCTAATAACTTCCTCTCGGGCTCTTTGCCGCTTGAGATTGGGAGCATGGTGAACGTTATCAGTATCGATATCTCGAATAATTTGATATCAGGAAACATTCCTCTGTCAGTTGGAAGCTGCCGGAGTTTGCAAGTTCTCTTCTTGGCGAACAACTCGCTCACTGGAGTCATTCCAGATTCCATCGGAAAGCTCAGTGGCCTGCAAAAACTCGACCTTTCTTCCAACCATATTTCAGGTTCCATACCGAACGATCTCGCCGATCTGCACGCTCTCCAGTTTTTGAACCTATCATTCAACAATCTTGAAGGAGTCGTGCCGGAATATGGCGTCTTTAAGAACAGCTCTGAAGCTCTACTCGAAGGAAACCCGATGCTCTGCACGGGGAATTCTTCATGCAAAACTAGCTCTTCTGGAAAAAATTGGAAAGTAGCTTACACAGTAATTATCCTTGTCGTTGCTATCTTTGCACTGTGTCTTATAGTTTTTGCTGTAATGTTCTTCGTTAAAAGAAAGAACTTTTTCGCAAAGATATCGGATGCAACAAACTCAATTAAAACTTCTCATCCCTGGATTTCATACGATGAAATCCTTCGAGCAACAAATAACTTGAGTTCAGAGAACTTAATCGGAAGAGGAAGCTTCGGCTCTGTTTATACAGGTGCGCTAATCAAAGAAGGCTCCACAATTGCCACAGCCGTCGCCATTAAAGTGTTAGATCTTAGCGTTCGAGGAGCTTCAAAGAGCTTCATTGCAGAATGCGAGGCTTTAAGGAATGTAAGGCACCGGAATCTCGTAAAGCTGATAACTTCGTGTTCAAGCTGCGATTTTGCAAACAATGAATTCCTTGCTTTGGTGTATGAGTTCATGGGAAATGGAAGCTTGGAGGATTGGTTAAGAGGCCGGAGAAGACACGAAGAAGATGATCATGAGGGGTTGAGTTTGGAGCAGAGGTTAGAAATTGCTATAGATATAGCAAGCGCCATGGATTACCTGCACCATGACTGTGATGCTCCCGTTGTGCACTGTGATTTGAAACCAAGCAATGTGTTGTTGGATGCTGATATGATGGCAAAAGTCGGAGATTTTGGATTGGCGAGGCTGATTATGGAGAAGGATGGTATCTCGGCCACAAGCTCAGAGTGGTTAAAGGGCACGGTAGGATATATTCCTCCAGGTAATTCTTCTTCTTCATCTTCTTCTTCTTCTACTTCTTCTACATTGAATCTTATTATTTCTTGAAGTAACAGAAATTTAAAACTGAACAGAGTATGGATTGGGAGGGAGACCATCAACAAAAGGAGATGTCTATAGCTTCGGTGTTCTGCTTCTTGAGCTTCTAACGGGAAAGAGTCCAATGCAAGTAGTGGGCATTGATGGAGAAGAACTGGTCTTGGAAAAATGGGTTCGATCTCTGTTTCCAGATAAGCTGTTTCAGGTTATAGACCCTCAGCTCCTTCCTCATGATCAGAAAATCCAAATAATTAACTTGGAGGAATCTCCATTGGTGTCCATGGCTAGGGTTGGACTCTTATGTGCTGTTGAATCACCAGAATCACGTATTAGCGTGAGGGTTGCTCTCCATCAATTGAAGAGTGTCAGAGACTCCCTTCACAAGTTTGATTGGGATGATTCTCTAGGATAATATGTTCATGTTCTTTTAAATATGCACTGAGTGAATGTTGTTAGAATCTTAAGGGGCTGTTTGGTAGCACCTAAGATTTTATTTAAGTAGGATTTCGTAAATCCGGTAAATCTGGATTTATACGAAATTCTTGGGGTGTTAAATCCTGAAATCTGTTTAGTAAAATTCATGATAAATCTTGTATGATTGTTTGGCTATCGAGCGTTAAATTCTGAAACGAGCGGACTCTTCTTCCTTCTCGGGCCTATAGAGCGTTAAATCCGCAGAATAAGAGGATTTCAGAAATTCAGGATTTACCACGAAAAGTTGTAATTTTTGGTCTATCGCGGCTCTCAATTACCATGAGATTTTGTTTTGCATTTTATACCGTTTGGCTGGATTTTGCTCAAATCCGACCTAAATCCTGCTACCAAATAGCCCCTAAAAATATGAACATAATGATTATGATTATGATTATGACAAATAATTGCATGCAAATTTGTATTCTGAATTTCTTATAGTGCAATGCTATAATTCATAAATAGATACATGTTATAATTATTGATGTAAGGTTCAAGAATGCAAATTTTTTTTTTAAGGTTCAAGAATGCAATACAATATATGAAGTCTAAATGATAACTAATTAAGAAATAGTAATGTGATTAAATGTGAAAATCATTTTTTTTTTATACAAAATAATAGGATATCTTATGCATAATTAATTCGCAATAAATTAATAAGAAAAGATTTATTCATAGGAAATCTTAATTATCTCTTAAAATAAAAAATTAGAATTTGTAAGAGTTTCTAATATATAATATGTTGCACCACACTGTAATATGAAATAATGCATGTGTATTACATGATTAATATTTATTAAAAGGTTATTCATTTAGCTCCATGAAATTAGGAATCTATAGAGTACTGAATTAACATTAGTGCTTTAATTATGTGTGACTTATTTGATAGCTTAATTTAAGAGTGTAAGGTTTTGTTTGGGACATTTTTTTAATTGTTTCTTAAAGCAGCTTTCTAGTAATTTTTTTTTTATTTTTATTCTAGAAAGTTGCTTTAAGTAGTAATTAGATAACTGTCCAAAAGGAAGCCTAAAGTATGAGTATCTGAAACATAATAAAATGAAAATAAGTTGGATTGAAATAATATATAAAAGCAAGAACTAAAATTGGTATAAAATTAAATAAAAAAAGGCATAAATGAAACAAAATGAATCAAAGCATTGATTATAATTTGTGCTACAAAAATTGAATTTGAAAATATATTACTATACTACAAGAGGAATCACATGAAACATACCATTGAAAATCAAAGCTTATTACCACTGCAGGCACTGTTAGCTAATAATAACTAGTATAAATTTAGCATCATCAGCGTAATTAATGAAATGAAACAATATTTCTTCTAGAAACTCATCATCTTCTTCTTCTTCTTCCTGGTCCATTTATGTTGCTCTTCTTCATGGTAGTAAGCCTAAGAATACTAATCCTTCTATTCTTTCACTCCATCACCGATCCAACACCATCATTCCATAGTAGAATCATCTCCCAATAACTCATCATTGCGTGAAAACTACCCCAACAAAATGGGAATGTCCAATATCAAGAACATCATATCAACTCAATCAACTTTAGAAAACCACACAACATAAAGATCACAACTTCTCAAGATCATTCAAGAAAATGGGTTTGATGGTTATCTTGATGCCTACAATAATTGGATGCTCATCGATTAAAACTTGACAATTGTTGTATGTTATACCAATTTTGTGCCACTCCTTTCATTTTTTTCTTAATATCGAAACATGCTATGAAATGTGGACAACATTTCTTCATTGAATATAACCTCAAACAACTCTTGCATCACACTAAAAAAAAAAAAAGAACTTTGCTACATATCCATGAAATCCCAAACCATAACCCATACTTATCCTAAATCAAAATAGAAGAAGACACAATCGTTACTACAAGGTCCCCTCTCTACCACAAATACATTGGACTCTACATGCTAAATGGTCTACCTCCTTCATATCAAGCACTAAAGACTGCTACTAGAACAAACTCTAACCAATTAGCCTTAAGGATCTACACCCTCTGCTTGGTAGTGTAGAATCCAACCATGCTATGGAAGCAGCCAAAGAACACCACCTTATGCAATCAACGACAACCATTATTGCTTTGATAGCCATAAGGAATAGGAGAATGCTTGTTTCCCTCACTCCACTAGTTAAGGTAAATCCAACCACATCTAAAAAAACAATTAAGAAATCAATATCATTTATCCAAGAGGAACATAAATCAACATCCTCCTTCATCCCCTATTACATTTATGACAAAATAGGCACACTACAACCAATTGTTGGCATCTTAGCTACAATGATGCATCCCCTAATCAACAAACTTTCTTCTCCACAAATGTGTTGTCCACTATATAACGTTTTCTTAACACAATAATAACCTCATAACTTTCATATACAACCAAATTACACAATCCTATTAAGTACTAAGGAACCGAACAACTTATGTTCAATAATGGTGAATCACTACCCATAATTACACTGGCCAAGGCATACTTCTAACACCATATATTAAGCTCACTTTATCTCATCTACTTCATGTTACTAACCTCCTTAACAACCTCATTGTGGGTCTCCAAAAGGATTCTACTTGAGGGGAACAAAATACAAAGAGTACGATCGCACTATCCAGTACGACAAAACAATTATAGACCTTTGCACTCTACACAAGCATACTAATGAAAGAACAAATAAGATCATATATACGATTAACCATGAAGGAGAGTGGTTTTCACATATGCACCTCAATGAGTAATAATATATATATATATATATAACATGATCAAAGTCATGAGATTTCTCCCATTCGATATATCAGTTCAAATGAGATTTATTTGATGTGGTGATCAATTTCTCACAAGCGTAAGCCCTCGTGATTAATTACATCTTAAGTATTGTCTTAAGAAAACTCTCGATTAAGGACGCCACATTATTCTCTCAAAGGATTTGACGCATAGGAAAAATTTAGGCTCTCCTAATCCAAAGGAAAAGATATGCTCAATTTAGTTTAATCAACATACGCGGATCATATCATCACTCGATCGATCTAAAGAAAAGAAATTATGAAAAAAGATACTACATTCAAGCATGCATGAGAGAATGATGGAGGTGGTGTCATCCGTGTGATGTAGATGGGTGAAATTTATAGCCTTTGAAAGATATAGAGCTTATCCACTGATAAGACATACAACAATACACTAGTATCACTAGCATCCATGACCTAATTAATACAATCTAGACTTATATCTTGCCTATAATAAAACTAGCTTAGCCACCTAGTCGTATTAAAGTCCATGTTATCCTGCCTTTATGAAAGATGGGTGGGTGGTTAAGTTATTGAAATTTAAGGCCGACGTCTAGAGAAGTTCCTAAGTGGTATTGTACTTATAGAGGGTAATATGCATCTAAGACTAATATAATTAAATTTTAATTTTTGTTAGTTTCTAATATGCATGCTAGTTAAAGCATCTAAATCATAAAATGCATGAATTTTTAAAAAAAGGCTTAAAAAATAATGTTTTAGAAAACTAGGCTTCTCCGGATTCAGTACCTCATCCTCATAGGCCAAATTATTTGAACTCTACCTGCAGGCGGAGAAGTGTCTAAACAATGAAAAAGAATAATGCAATAATATGCATGCAATCCTAAATGATCTCTAGCTTATTTCCTTGGTCATTATCTTTCTATCTTATTTAATTCTTAAAATTTTAATTTTTAAATATGAGTAGAAAAATTTTATTCTTAAAGAGCCTAATAAAACTCAGGCACAATCAAGAAACAAACCTATAAAAATATGACATTTTTACTGCACAAAAAAAGTAAACATATCATCAAAATAAAATACCAACTGGTGTAAAAGGTGTATAAAGTCCATATCAAGTGTCATTCAATATACATCCCATAATACAAAAAGTAATTGTGGCCAGACTCCTCTGACAACAAACTGGGTTCTAATATTATAAAACGACACAAGTCTTAAAATGTGGCATTTTAGTCTTGATCTTCATCTTTTGGTTCTTATATGGATCATCTTTTTGCAGTCTTCTTATGGTACATCCTCGATAGGATATCTAAATGAAAAGAAATTCAGTAAAAAAATTCATCTTGATTGGGCACAAATCTCATTGTAAATATGAGTCGAAAGCTTTAAAATTAAATTCAGGATGATATGAACTCTGATTTTAACAAACGTATAGTCAAATTGATCATCTCAAAGAGATAAACCCAATGATACCAAATTCAATCCAATCCGAGCCCAAATGAGCCCAAATCAAAGGACCAAAGCCTACTTAAAAGCTTCATAGTATTAATTGGATAACAAATGATATTCGAATATGACATGTTAATAGTAAAATCTAGTGGCTCGATGAGGTGAATCCAACGAGCCTAAGATCACTCAATTATGACATCTTTAAGGTACTTAAATGTTTGATAAATACTCCATGATCAAGAGGGATCAATATAAGTCATCTGATGGAACACTCTCAACATACCATTGATCTTCTCCATATTTACTAGGCCTGTCACTCCAAAAAAATTATAAATAGACCTCTCATTCTTCACATGAGGGGGAGGAAGAAAGAAGAAAACTTGGAAGCTTTCTTACCACCTAACAGCTGCCAAATTTTCTTCTTGATCATTGACCATCATTGGACTTTCGCCTGTTCATCGATAGCCACCAGATTTCTTCTCGACCAACAACTGTCGCCAAACTTTTGTCTGTTTGTTGGCCACTACTGAATATCCTCCTAAGTTCCGAACGTAATAGACTTTCGCCCGTTCGTTAATCACTGCCAGATCTCCTCCTGGCTTCAGGCCATCGCCGGACTTTGGCCCATTCGTTGGCCTCACGAAATCTCTTCACAACCATCAACTGTTGCCGGACTTCCACCCCTTCATTGGACATTGTTGAATCTCCAACCATCATCATATCTCAGCTAAACATTCTCCTAACTATTACCGCCAAATTTTCAACATTTGT